TAGAGAGAGAGAGAGAGAGAGAATGAAAGGAGTAACAAGAAAAGCTAAACAGTAGGGCACATGTGCAACTATGCTAAGGACTAAGTCAATGTACAACAAACAACTACGGACTAAGTCAGAATAATAAACATTAATTTATCACCCCCTACAAGTTGAAGGGCAGGTTTGACTTGAACCTTGAAACGAATATTGCTGATTTTTTTCTTTATTCAGGGGCTTTGTAAATATGTCGGCTAGGTGATCAAAGAAGAAACATGACAGATTTTTAGAGCCCCTGTTTCAACTTGCTCTCTGAAAAAGTGAAAATCTAGATTGATATGCTTTGACCTTGAACTAATTATTGGATTTTTGCACATGAAAGTTTCATTAATGTTGTCACATAGAATTATAGGAGGTTGTTGAAGAGAGACTTGTAAATCGCGCAGCAGTTGATTTATCCATAATATTTAAGCGAAAGTATACGCAAGTGCATGATATTCTGCTTCTGTGTTGGACCGAGCAAGCACTCTCTGTTTTCTAGAAGTCCAACTAATCAAATAGTTGCCACGAAACAGTGTAAATCCATATTGGGATCTACTATCATCCTTGTCGGAGATCCAACCAGCATCCGAATAGGCCAAGAGAGAAGGAGCTTTGGTTGGTGCTAAGTGAAGACAATGATCTAAAGTGCCATTCAGATACCTCAAGATGCGCTTTACAGCTTGCCAATGTTGAGTTTTAGGGGAATGCATATACTAACAAACACGATTAACCGCATATGCGATGTCGGGTTGACTTATGGTTGCATATTGCAGCGAGCCAACAACCTGCCGATAAAGTTTGGAATCAAAGAAAGGTTCACCATCTTTTTGTAGAGGAGTAGAAGTTTCTACACGAGTCAAGATAGGCTTCGAGTTTGTCATTTTACTACGAGTAAGAACATCGTCAATGTATCCCCTTTGAGACATAGTGAGACCAGTATGGTTTTGGATAAATTTCACACCAAGAAAATAGTGTAGATTTCCAAGGTATTTGAGAGCAAAGGTTTTACGCAAGTTACTGGTAAAGCATTCCATAAACTTGATGTTGTCACCTGTGATAATGAGATCATCAACATAAACAAGGATATAAACAGTGGCTAGGTGAGAGGAGTATATGAAGAGTGAGTTGTCGGAGTGACAAGCTCAAAATCCCTTAGTGGTAACATGGTGTTTTATTTTAGTAAACCAAGCTCGAGGTGCCTGTTTCAATCCATAAATGGCCTTATGTAGGTGACACACATGATGTGGTTGGGATGGATCTTCACAACCCTTGGGTTGTTCCATATAAACCTCCTCCGATAAATCACTAT